GACATAGTTTTATAAGAAAAATTTATATGAAAGGCTAAGTGGTATAAAATGAGAACTTCAACACATTATGAAATAATCACTGAATAATTAAATGAAATGTATACAACATAGAGGAACTGTACATCCAGAATGTAGTTTTTAAGGCTTTCTCTGAATAACAGCACTATCAAAACAATCGTGCTACATTTTATACAGTTTATAGCATGACCTCTCAAATGAGGCGCTCAAAGAGTTTATGGCCACACAGACAAGCAAGTACTAATGGCAAAGAAACTATTTACTGAAGTAAAAGAAAGATCAATTGAAATGGTGGAAACCAGTAAAAAATAGAAATAAATCAGTAATCTATTTTCACATGTGTTAATAGCTTTTAAATTAAAATCAGCTTAAATCAAATTTTATTTACTTCCAGTATAGTTTGGTGGCCTCACTCTTCCATCCACCAATAGGCTGATTTCTTGTTAATTTCCAATATTTTTGGACATAAATTAGAACAATCTTTTGATAGTATCTCTTGAATACTTTAGGACACTCTCTAAATGTAGATGAAACCTAATGGCCAACCTGAGTTGATTTAATTTAAAATAAGATTGAGTAGATCACAAATTTCACAAACTAAAGAAATACTGTTTTAAAGAAAATATCAATAGCCAGATTTTATAAAATAAAGGGAATTTAAGCAACATAGTATGGTAAAAATAATCCACAGTCGTATCTGGGAATGTGGGGACCTTGATTCACGTGCTAGCAAGATTAATGGCTTAAAACTTAGTGGAGCATCAGAATCGCATTTCTATATCCTATCAAGAGAAATTCCAATTAAGTATCTTTTCAGTGAGCATATAAATTATTGTAAACTGACTCCTGACATCCTCTCTTAACACGCACACACACACAAAACTTTGCAGGTGATTCTGATAATCAGCTAGGTTAAGAGATCATTTTGTGAAATGATTTAAGTGCCCAGACTGTAAAGGTGGAAGGTTCAGATGAGATGGTTTCTAAAGTGATTTTTGAATCAGATATTTTATAATTCTGGTACATCTCTTGTCTAGTCCAGAGATTTCTTCTAGAGAATGATTAACAAATGCTCATTCAGCTTCACCCAGAGAGAGCTTATTCTCTCTGGAGGGTATTTTTTTCCATTGTTATAAAGATCCTTAAGGTTAGCCAAAATATTTCAACTTTTACTGATTTGTCTGAGTTCCACCCTTTGAAATAACATTTTCCCTGTCCATCTCATGGCCCTTAAAATGCTTAAAGACAGATCCTGCATCTTTTCTACATAATTTTGTCTCTGTGTTAAAAAAGATGTAAAGATTAGAGCCATAAAAAGAATACACTTCTTTTGGATAAGCAACTTAAAGTGGGACAAGTTCACAGAATCAAGATGTTGTTTCACTAAAAAAGAAGAAAAATCAGTGAAGTAATTCAGCAGACTTGTATCAATACATGCAGCTAAAGAAAAATTTTGCCTAGAAGGTTGAGGAAAATTGTTGGAGTGTTACAGTCTAACAACAGATGGGGTGTGGTAAGTTTCATAGTTAGGAATAGAGATTGACAGAAATATAATACAAGTTGCACACGTTCGAGTAACTTTTAAAATTAAACTGTGTAGGCTGTGGCATTTTAAAAATCATGTTAGTATTTTGGAAATCCTGTTTCTAATAAGTAAAAAGTAATCAAGACAGTATCAAGATTGTTTTTTATATGTAGTCACTCAAATATCAACAATTAAGTTTGTGAACTTGTCACCATGCACTTACCATTGGCAGCATTGTACAAACAACTCAGGAAGGGTTCATAAGCTTGTAAAATCGGTGTCTCACACCAGTGTTCATGTCGACCGTGTGGCACTGTCTTGCTGAATGGCATGCATTATTGTCAGTGTGTTTTCATGTGCCTCTGAGAGAAGTTTGGCTCAGAAGAGTGGACGAACATTGCATTTTGTGTTAAGTTGGAAAGAACAGAAGTAAAATCAGGGCTGTGTTGATCCAAATTTATGGGCATAATGCCATGAAGCACACAACAGTGTAAAGTGGATTAAACATTTTTTTTTTTTTTTAAGATGGAGAAAGCATCACTGATGAAGAAAGGTCAGGGAGGCCAATAATGAGAATACATGATGAAAACATGTGAAAATTCATCAAATTTTGCATCAAAATCATAGACTGACTGCAAAAAGTATAGCAGAGAAAGAAACATTGATAGAGAAACAGATTTTAACTGAAAATCTGCATGAGAAAGCTGTGTACAAAAATGGTCCCCAAGGAGCTCACTGATGAACAAAAGCAAAGGAACATCAAAGTGTGCCAAAACTTTTTGGAGAAGCAAGACCATGTTTTCAGCTATGTTATCACTGGTGAGGAAATGTGGCTGTGCCAATGTGACCCTGAAACAAAGTGCCAAGGTGTATGCAATAGAAGTCAGCCAATTCTCCACCTTCCAAAAAGCTTTGTCAATCCAAATCAAGAGTCAAAAAGATAAACTTGACTCTTATCAAAAAGTTGCTAAACTTTTTTGATATTAGAATGATTGTTCATTATGAATTTGTACCAACTAGATAAACAGTTACCCAAGTTTACTATTTGGAAATGCTGAAAAGGCTGCATGAAAAAAGTTAGATGAAAATGACCTGAACTTTTTGGCAAAAACTCATGGCTCTTGCATCACAGCAATGCACCAGCTCATATGGCACTGTCTGTAAGGGAGTTTTTAACCAGTAAATACATATCTGAATCTGTAACACTTTCCCTACTCACCTGAAATGGGCCCCAATGAATTTTTTCTTTACCCAAAGATAAAGAAAATATTGGAAGGAAGACATCTTGATGACATTCGAGGCATCAGGGGTAATACAATGATAGCTCTGATGGCCATTCCAGAAAAAAAGTTCCCAAATTGCTTTAGATGATAGACTAAGCACTGACTGGCCTTGGTCCATGGTTTTCGAAGAGGAGTAATTTGAAGATGACCATAGTGATATTCAGCAATGAGGCATGTAGCTCTTTTTCTAGGATGAGTTCTTGAGCTTAATTGTCAGACCTCATATATTTACATTCATATATAATGGTAAATTAATTATGTAAGCAAAAATTAGTCAAGAAAAACAGGATAAAGGAGGTGTGATAAAAGTGTATATATTCATAAAAACACCAGAATAAAAATAAAGTATATGCTAAATCTGTAAATAATATAAATATTAGGTTTCCTCTAATATAAAGAAGAGGATAAAGAAAAATAAATTCAGCTAACAATTTAAAGAAAGGATTATTACACTTATTTCAAGTGCTGCTGTTATTAGTTACCTAGACATGTATGTGTAATCAAAGCTCCCTCTGTCTTATCACTTCTTTTTCTTTATAATAAAATTTTTATTTTTCTTTATTGAGTTTTTCCATTAATGCATGTGAACTTGTTACTATTCTCACCATTCTTCCAAACGATTATTGTACACTTTATGAAACTGATAGGTTAAAGGCCAGCCAAATATGTTGTGAATACTTTTTGTCTCTTGACATTATTAATCAGGCTTCTTTCTAGAAACTTTTTATCTTTAAGTTCAAGGACCTTAAAATGTCCTGCTTTTCATCTGCCTCTATCTATCTTTCTGAGGATTTTCTTCTTTCATTTGTCCTTCTCTAACAAGTAAACCTATTCTTATTTCTCTCTCTCTCTTTTAATACAGAGTCAATAATAATCAGTCTTCAGTATAAATCTCTACTTCAGAACTCTCAGTCAACTTCTAATCTCTTATCTCCAATTCTCCCCTCAACATTTTTACTAGCATGTCAGGCTACTGTCTTATAGAATAGGAAGGTGTTAGAATTTCACCTGACCTGGAGATCATCTACTCAAATCTCCAGTTCCAAGTAAGGAGATGAACTGAAAGTAAAAACATGCAAAGTACTTCAGACAACAGGGTAGCACAAGGACTCACACAGAAGTTCTGTATTCCCCAGTCCCCAATTTTGTGTCACAACCGCCTCTTGTGCCACTTTGAACACAGATGATTCTCTCCATATGTTTTTCCATTGGCTAATAATTTTAGATAAAATTAACAAATTATAAATCTTGGTTTGTTAAGAGAAATTAGCATTTGGGACAGAATATGATTAATATTATAATATTAGGGCAAATACATATTTGGTAATGGTGAAGAGTGACTCACACAAAAAGTAACTATTGGACTGAGTACGAATCATCTTTGAAGTTTTTGAGACCCTATAAAATAGTTCTTTGAATTGACTGGCTAAGTTCTTGTTTGCTGATACACTTAATGTCTCAATTCCCTCAACATTTGGAATCTGTTCTGACTTTATTAAAAATATCCTTATCAAACGTGGATATCTGGAATGCTCTGTAGGGCCAATCCCAAGGATGATTGATGAAAATTGTAAATAAGATAACCATTTATAGTCCCTGCAAGTTGTCCTAACAACACACATAAAATTAATAAATGTTTATTTTATAAAAGCTAAATCTTAGTAAAAGGAGTCTGTGGCACTGGACCCAACCTGTCCCCCTCCTTCTTGCATCAACAATCCTCAAGATATCAACCATGCCGTGTACAGCACCTTGGACTCTGGTTAGACAGGATCTACAGAACCCTAGCCCAGAGCTGCTATGTGCCAGACATTCTGTGTTTGAGGGTCCAGACTTTGGTCAACTAGCCCCCCAGAAATGCCAGAAATGCCTTGCCTAATCTATATGATGAACCTAACTCCCATATAACTGTATTTAGATCAAAGGGTTGTTGTGATCATTTGAGATATCCTACTCGGCTGTGTGCTCTGAAAGGATTAAGTTCTTAGTAAATCTTAACCATCATTATTATGCCTTATCTTAAGTTATGTCTATACTGAAATCTTTTTGTTCTTCTTCTAAGAAACATTTATAAGACAAATTCTTGGACTTATTTCATCACCTGAGTCTCCCTACTGGGCTTTTAAGGGCATGGGCAGTGTCTTACGTTACAATGCTTATTAAAGCTCTTGACAGTGCTTGCTTCAGCAGCACATATCCTAAAAGTGGAACAATACAGAGAAGATTAGCATAGCCCCTGCCCAAGGATCACACGCAAATTTGTAAAGAGTTCAACATTTTTAAAAATAAATGTTTTGATCTAAAAAAAAGTGCTTGACACACACAATGCATTTAATTTCTTATTGAATTGATGAATGAATGAATTAAATAGTAATAAATTTTCCATGTTGCTAGATTTGATATAGAAATCTATTTTTATACTTACAAACTTCAATAACATGAAGATGATTCAAGGCTGTCAGTAAAAATGGCTTAAGAAGCAAATGTCGTATCTGAATACTGTGCTGGTGAATATGTTATCCAGAAATGTTTGCCCAACAGGCGAGGGTCACTAACATCGCACATATGGTGTTCTTACCGCTTGATGCATTTTAGATCACATTTTCCTACTCTTCCCTAAAATAGTGATAGGTACAACAGCTGGTGGGGATTGAAAGAGTAAAGCAAGTGAATTTTTTTATTATTAAAGGTGATCAGTTTCTGGATATGTAAATGCATATGTGGTAGCACTTAAGAAATGACACCTGCTTTCTTTAGAGGAACATCATGGAAGAGGCGGTGTGTAAGCTATAACTTGAAGGGCAAGAAAAACTGAGTGACATTAACAGAGGGGTAGGAGATGAGATTTAGAGAAGAGTGTTCCAGGTAGTTAAATGAGTAGTGTGTGCAAAGTCATATATGTGATTGAGGGAAAATGCTTGGAACTGTAAGGACTAAAGTTCAGTGTGACATAAAAATGAGGGAAGAGAAATGGGTACAAAGAATATGTGAGCAATTAGACAGGGAGAGGGTCTTTATTTGATTTCTCCTAAAGCAGAGCCTGAATTAAGGACTTGGATGTAGGCATTTTGCCTGGGAGATAATCCCGAGAAACAGTGCTGAAAGACAGGGAGGGTAGGGCAAGAAAGAAAAAGTAATGTAGGGCAACGCCTGTGGCTCAAAGGAGTAGGGCGCCGGCCCCATATACTGGAGGTGGTGGGTTCAAACCCAGCCCCGGTCAAAAACTGCAAAAAAAAAAAAAAAAAGAAAGAAAGAAAAGAAAAGGTAATGTAGGAGTAAATTATCACTCCTTTGTACATGTATAATGGGTATTCCATTTCACCAGGCCTCCTGGGAAGGGTAAATAATATCTCCCAGAATTTTCCTCCTACAGGAAGGGAGGCTAGCATATATACCTACAGATATATTCAACTTCTATCAGCTGAGATTTTTCTGAGCCATTAATTCCCCCATATTTTAAGACATACCTAAAAGCCCAGACAGCCTGGGACCACTTTTCCCTCAAGAATCACTAGGCTGGAAAAAGACTAAAAGATTTGCTACATATACTGGAGATTGGAGGCTGCCATCATGAGATGACTTTGTGGTCACATAAACTGTTCTCAGAAGTTGCAGCTGAAATCAAACATGGACTAAGGGGGATGTGATGTGGGCACAATGGTGTTAGTACCAGACAAATAAGCCTAAGCCAGACAGCCCCATATGCTTTTAGGGAGCTCTTAATTTACCTATTCACCTTTATGAATTCAAGTATTTAGAGTCAGAGAGTAGCATGACCAGAGGTGGATGTTTTGGGACATGAAACATCATGTTTTTGATGTAGCATATATAATAGATATGTTAAAATGTCAAAATTCATTTTATATTAATATTGAAAAGATTATGTGAAGTGTTACCAAGATCTGCTACCCTGGAAAAGAGCATACATTCTGTTCTCTTGACCATTTTTATGTCTCTCGACTAAAAACTCTTCTGAAATGAAATTAAGTATAAATTTTTAACCTGACGTAGTTCTCAACAAATATTTTGTTATGGAAGGGAGATGTATTTCCTTACCATATTGGTAAGTAGTTGCTTTATAAAAACTGAATTGATATATAGTCATTTAAAACAGTAATTATAATACTCATCATGCACTGTCTGCCTGTTGGCTAGGAGCCAGCTGATCAAGACTGGGCCTGTTACCACTACCTGATCTTTGACAAGCCAATTAAAAACATTGAGTGGGGAAAAGATTCCCTATTTAACAAATGGTGCTGGGCGAACTGGCTGGCAA